TAAAGGGTAAAAGCATGTAAAATGCTGGAAAAGTAAATGACTTTAAATGATTAAATTGGTGTTTCACACATACATTTCTCAACAATTCGTTCGCTCACACTGGGTACTTGAATCTAAATGAGTGACTATGTATTTATTGTGAACACACGCGAGAAACTACACGTCTACTCCTATTTATACAAAAACATTCCAAGTAACCGTCGGGCAGTTACACTGCTTCGAGATCAAGCCACTTGTCACGTTCTCTATGCTCGACGCTCCAGATCCTTGCACGTTTGCACGTAGTAACTGCTGGAAACCGTTTTCCCTCCAAAGCTTTGAATTTCAAACTGCTCCACTCTGGACCATCGAACACTTTCATCAAGAGACGTCTTCGATGAAAACTCCTTCGACGTCGAAGGCAATCAGCCTTCTTCCTTGGAAGAAATCTTCTAAGTATTTTGCCATCTTTCGACGGGCACTTCGACAGGCTTAGCCAGTCGAAAGCATCTTTCAGCTTTCAATGGCTGCCACTAATCAAAACAAAGGTGTCGAATTTAGGAGCCAACAGTAACATTGTATTCTCTTATGCTTCACACCACCTGTTTGATAAAATGCTTAGACCAATATCTCTAACACTTGAGAGGACTGCTAGTGCGTCAGCTATGAAAAAGAAATTTCCCGTTCTCGGTTGAAACCAACACGTTATACCATACCTGAAGTGGAATTAGTTCTGGTTGTAGATTTGCCTTCTTCATTCTCACCTTCACCATACATTATTAACCACAAACGTCATGGGCCGCGCCTCCTCAAAAGTTTGTCTGAGGCTAGTGTGCTTTCCAAACAGAATAGTGGAACAGTTGATGATAAGAGTTTTGATATTGTCATTGAAATTTCTTCTGGTGATCTTAGTTATGTCTATGTGAACAAATGTATTTTGGAGTTATCTTTTGAAGAGTTAAAGTTTTTAGTCTTTAATGATGATATATGTTTTACTGGTGAGGATATCAATGTTGAATTGTTTCAACAGGAACATAAGTTACATGTGTTAACTTCTTATGTGAGAAAAAGAATGGACAATACTGGAATTCTAGGTGTGAGTTTCTTTGGCATGTATACCTTAGAGATTATGCTATGTTTAAAAATCATCCTATTGACACGGGATAGGAAGATAATGTGAATATACCCCTTCATATTTACCTTGCTATACTTGATGTGCTTACTATTTCATTGACACTAGACTTATGGCCATTTATGATATTGTTGTTCTTACTCTTGTGGCTTGTAGAATTGTTTTAACAAATCACTCTCTTGTTAAAGCAATTATTGGCTTCATTCGACCTCAGAGGCTTGGACTTGTGGGAACCTCATTGTCTGTTGAGATTAATTATTGGTTGAAGATGGACATAAGAACTTCTTTTGCTTGGATTGAATTTTCTTAGATATTCACCAGTTGGATATTATTCAACAAAGCTATTTCCATTACTTTGGGTTATTTTTTTAGATTGCAAGAAAAAGGGTTAGTGAGCTTCACTGTGGCCTATCAATTTGAAGTGAGATCAAGATTGGCGGATGAGTTTTTTAGCAAATACAAAGGCAAATACTCATTCACAGTGGCAAGACCCTTGTCTACAGAAACATGGGCATTGATTATGATTAATTTGCGGCTGAATATGGTTTCACTAGCAGAGTCTTTCTGTTCAAAGTGTGGGATCCAGGAAAGGTACCAACAATGCCATGATTGAATTTGTGACAAATTCTGGAAATTTAACTGCCAAAAAGATCTCAGTTACAACTACTAGTGAAGCATCTAAGGATGTTTTATGTTGAATTGCATTTTCCTGTTTACCCTATTACAAAATTCAAATTTGATGATACTTTGCTCATTTCAAAAGCATTGCAAGGTACTTCCATAATGTATATAAAGAATGACACAAATTCAAGATGACATACTTTTTCCTAGCACTGAGTTGGCTTTCATCCATACTTGTAATGGAGGCCTATTTTTAGCAGAAGAGGTTCGACATCGCCAATGGTCGTCGTCCGTGTTAAACTTGGATCCAAAGCCTTGGGGTTCTTGAAGACAATATCTATTGAGTCTATTTTTAAAAACTTGAGGACAAGGTTCAAGTGAACCCGTCGACAATGATAGAGAGTAAATATTATTTAAGTTAATTTATTAGTTGTACTTTTATTATATTTTAGTTGGGCTTTTCAATTATCATTTAAGTGGGCTTTTAGTGTTTAGGTCTTTTGTTAGATTATCCAATAGTGATATTATATAATGTAGTGTCTTGACACATTTGGGATATCAAAGAAATCAAATGAAATTACTTTTATTAGTTAATTTATCTTTCTCTAATGTAGAATTTTAAAGTTTTCTTAGAGTTTTGATAGAGCTCTCTTTTAGAGTCTATCACTCGGCTTAATTATGTGTGAATTTTTGTTGGGCTTACTTCAAAGGTCACCGTTGCTCAACTCTAAGTTTCAAGGTTGGTATAATTAGAATTCAATCATAAATGCAAATATTGAAACTCTTATGATTGCACTATATTCATAATAGTTCTATATTCAAACTACAATGTCTTGTAGAGTTTTAATTGTGACTTGTTTTTTAAACGCTTCTTCTCCAATGGTCAATTTCAGATCTATAGCTCATTAAGGACGAGTTATCGAATCGTTGAATGCTAACAAATATCCTTCATCATACAAATTCAGATGTGTTTGCTTGACACATATAGATCCATTGTATATGAGTAGAGGACATTATAAGAGGTTTCGTCATCTACGAGGAATCCAGATAGATCATGATTAGCGATGGTGGCCGCAAGAATCAGAGGCAGACCATAGTTTGGAATTCCGTTGATTTTCTCGCAATCTAGGAATCCTAATTCTAATTGATCTTTTCTACGTCGAACGCCTGCTTCAACTACAAGTATTAAGAAATTTGACGAAGGATAGGTGCTAGTTATTGAGATATCACTAAATTTGTCAATCAGTGATATCTGGATGGCGTTAATTCAGAAGATGTATTAAAGATTTTAGACATAGCTACCGAATTTACCATCTCCGTTTCTTCAGTTGTTGTGATAAATCTGATTTCTGATCAAGATTGATCTGAAGATGAAAATTCGTGGGAATCAAAAGTAGTTTCCCACAAACAGATTCATTATTTCGTCTGGGAACCAGAAATTGATCCAATTGAAGAACTGTTGATCTTGAACGGTGACTCCGATCTCCTTTACGACAACATGGGGTGGACTTACATGATTAACACTCCAACGACCAAGTCAATTCAAGAAAAGAAAAGTGGAAATCAGAGATTTTACCTTAATCATTGTATGTGAGTTGATTTTATACCTTTGAGTCAAGTGAAGTGGATTTGAGATGAATTTAAAACTTAATCATTTAAGTCTTTGGCCTATCGAGAATAAAGTATAATTAAAAAAATCTAAAATTTAATTTAAAATATTTTTTCCACTTTTTAATATAGCATTAACTATTTAATTTTTGATTAAATCATTTAATTATTTTAATATATAGAAGATACATTAAAAGATTGTGAATTTAACTATCTACATATGTAAGACCATGAGAAAGTGTGTGATGTGTAACATGTCACCTTTTTTTTCCTGTGTAACTTGACACTTAATAGTTGGAAGAGAGAGAGAGAGAAAGAGGATTTTGTGGGAGATGATTTGTAGAAAAATTAGATAAATTTTTCATATTTTGTATAGAATTATTATATTATAAAAATATAAAATATTAAAATCCTTTTGTTGTTCAAAGCCTTTTGGCATTCCACTCCAAACTCCAAAGCTTCAATATTTATTTTTTTAACATTATTCTGGTATAAGAAACAGGCTTAACAGTACTAACTCAACTCAACCACACAGAAGCAAGGGATGAAACCCAAAACCTAAAAGCTTCAAACCCCAAACTTCAACTTCCGGTGAGCCTTTTCTATTCTTATTTGCTGCTACACCAACACTTGTCCCTTCTATTGCTTTCTATATCTATTTTTACACTTTAACTTTTCACTTTTAACACCATGAAGAATACAACATTGCTCATTGCTTAATTTTCTTTTCAATGTTGAAGTTCATAGAAAGCACAAAACAAAGTTTTAGTCGTTTCCATTCGGTAACTTCTTCATCATAATACATACTAGTACATTGTTTCTCATATTTCAACTTTCATTTTAGGGACTGTTTCGCTTTATGGCTACAATGACGTGACATTATTTTCATTTTTTATTGGAATATTAGATATTCATGATTTTTATTTATGATAAATGGAACATGTGTTTTTGGGGACTATTACTCAAAACCCTTTATCCTTCAAATATAAGAGTTAGTGTTGAGTTGCCGCTGATCTTTGGTTCTGATGCTTTGGATGAAGTTAACCGGTTAACACTCCAACACTCAAGTTACTATAAGAAATGAATGATGAAATTTCAAAATGGGAAAGAGTCTATCCATGAATATGCGTGGAATGCAGGATGAATATAACGGTATTTGTTGAAGTTCCAGACGGAATCACGCGTATGAAACTAGGACACTTCCTTTGAGTGCCTTTGCTATGCTATGCTCTTCATTGATGTTGCTGTTTGTTAACTTATATGTTACTTCACTTTGTGTTTATGTATGCTTTTTAAGAACATATATGTATAGTTTTGTGGAGTATTTGTTTATGTTAAATATCTCTATAGGTACTATGTCTTTAGCTAGCCACATTTCATTCCAATACAATCTCTATTAAAAATAGTTCGGTTTTGAATATTTGCATAAACAAAAATGTTCTTTGTGTATTAATGCATAACTCCTCATTCATCATACATATGTGATAAACTCAACAAACTGTGTTTCAAAGCTTTAAGCATTTATTTTTGCAGTTAGAGGCATTTAGTTTGGTGAGAGTTGTCTTAATTTATCATTCAGTTGCTACGCATTGATAATGATATTTGATAATGTTTGGTTATGAAGAGAATTAATTAGTTACTATAGGAAACTCCTATAAACATGGAGTTTGGTTCTGCTGCATCCGGCTTTAGAAGTCCCAAGGAAAACCCTCATAAGAAGCATAAGGCAAATGAAGTTGAAGATTTAACCGACAAACTACCGGAGTTGCTTATTACTCACATTCTGTCTCTTCTCCCTACCAAAGATGCAGTGCGTACAAGTGTGTTATCTAGGAGATGGATGTACCGTTGGGTATCCATCACCAAGCTGGATTTAGATGATTGCCGGTTCTATATTCCCAAAAGGAAAACAGGTGGAATTCAACACTTTAAAAACTTCGTCAATAGGACACTTCTTCTTACTAAAGGTTCAAGAGTGGAAAGTTTCTCTCTTGTCATGACTAACAAGATAGATATATCCCTTCTAAATACTTGGATCTCTTGCATCTTGATGCAACAGAAAATTAAAAATCTCCGTATCCATTCGAAATGTGGATGGACCTTCTCTACTCTTGCATTTCAATCTCTTTTCAACTCCATCTTCTTAGAAGAATTGGATCTCAAGATGCTTTCTTGTGATATTGAAGTTCCAACCATGGATGTTTATTTTGGCTATCTAAAATTCATTAAGTTGAATGGAATTGCATTTATCGAAGGCTCCTCATATGGCTATCTCAAACTCAGTTTACCACTCCTCAAAAAGTTTGAGACAATAAACTGTGATTGGTTATGTGCTGAGGGTGTCTATGTAAAAGCACCTCTTCTTGAAAACATTTGTATAGTGCAAGACCGTCTTCCGTTATCTGATGATGATGAGCGTAGTTGTGAAATCAAATTTTTTGATTGTCATCTAAAAGAATTTACTTATCGCGGTTATGCTATATCACAACCGTTAATTCTGTCAGATGCATTGATAGCTAAAAATGTCCGTGCTAATCTTATTTTAAGTAAGTGGGAGGACGGAAATTCAGAAGCAGGATTGTGTGAATTTGCGCTTCTCAATCAATTCAATCAAGCCGAATCTATCAATTTTGACCTGTCTGAGGTAAGCATATTGTTCAACCTTTTTAACACCAAAAGCATATGTGATGCCAAACCTTAATTTTCACATAATTTTGTTCCGAATGGAGATTGAAGTTGTATTCCATAATTTTCATATGTTGCATGCTCAAACAAGTTTCTTTATGCCATCCAGGTTCTCACACAACCAAATGTGGCTTTTCTACCTCAATTTTCAATGCTGATCCATTTGGAGCTTGGCTTAACTTTGTGTGAAGTTTTGTTGGGCTTACTTCACAGGTCACCATTCCTCAAAACTCTAAGTTTCAAGGTTGGTAATTAGCATTCAGTCATAAATGCAAACATCAATTCTCTTCTGGTTGCACTATATTCACAATAGTTCAATATACAAACTACAATGTCTTGTAGAGTTTTGATTGTGACTTATTTTTCTTCTAGTACTCTTATAGTTTTTCCTTTGCAAGTCTAATCCATGCTTTCTTTGATGGTTAATCATTAGGGAATTTCAAAATTTGATCAGGAGCTTCTGAATTCTACTGTTGTGCCCGATTGTTTGGCATCAGCACTTCAAGTTGTGAAATTTGAAGGAGTTAACGGTTACGAGCATGAGCTGTGTTTAGCTAAATTTCTTATGGAAAAAGGTATCACGCTGGAGAGGATGAGTTTCGTCCTTGCTAATCAAGCACTAGGCAAATCAATGATAATCGAAGAATTTAAGGAGAAACTTTTCTCATTTAAGAAAGGTTTCTCTTTTGCTATTGTTGAATTTTCATATAATTAGGCTACTACAAAGGCAAGTAGTATAAATTAACAATGTTTTTGCTGGCTGTATAAGCAAGTGGCACAGGTCTTATTGCAGTCTGAATTTGTACCTACAAGTAATTGTTCAGAAACGGTGATTATGATATTTTAGCCAAACTACAATGGTAGAAATATTATGTTCATGTGTTTACCTAAAAGTTGTTGCTATTGGAGTGTGGGAGCTATGAAAGCTTTAATTTTAGTTTACATTAAATTAGAATTATAGTAGTACTAGTACTTCATCAAAAACAAGTAAATTTGATTCTCACTTCCACAATTAAGAACAAGCAGTGAGACCAAGAGATCAACTACTGCATTTTCTACTCTTACATTTAACACAAAATTACCCATATTAAAGATATTATTGTAGGGACTTTTTTCAGGGACCGCTTCGGATTGTCCCTGTTTAGGATTTTCTTAATTTATAAATTATAATTTTTTTCTGTTTTAGTTTAATTTTGTTTGTTGTTTTTTTCTCTTTTTTCTTCTTAATTTTAAGTAAATATATTTTTTTTATTAATGAGCTTTTTATAACAAAAACTACAAATGATTAATAATTATAGAAGGTGCGGTAAAACTTTTTAAACCAGTGATATTTTGTGCCATAAGAGTACAAATTAAAAATCAAATTCAAAAACATTTATTATAAAAAAAGTGCATGCAACTTTTTTGAGTTTAAATTTTATAATATAAAATAATAATATTTTTTAACTTGTGTCTTTAGAGATTTTATTTTTATTTTTAGTAATAATCATGTTTTAAAAAAATATACAAATAACTATGTTTCGTGTAATCATGTTTCAGAATATACAATAATAGATGTGTCATCTCACTTGACGCATGCACTAACCTTTTTAACGTAGGCGTCATCTCACCTGGCGCATGCACTTTGTTTTAGTCATGTGAGATGGCGCATGCACTATAATAAGAAAAGGATGTGCCATCTGAGATGACTACTACGTGCAATTGTGTTTTCTATAAATAAAATACTCATTTCTCCATCATTCTTCACACTTTCTCATATTCTCTTCTCATTTTCTCTATGTTCTTTGCATCACGACATCTCCCATGATTCTCACCAGAGATGGATACGTTATTTTCTCGACCACCAAACCTCCGATGAAAATGAAATTTTGGCACATTCACTCCATGGAGCGTCTAAAGAGAGAGTTGATGTGATGGCTAGAGGGAGACATCGATGCTGGGGAATAAATTAGAAGGATCCAGAGAAGAAGAACATCCACCTCACTTGCAACTGGAAGACATCAATCTTGGTTGGAGGAAGTCAAAACAAACAGAGACGTAATGGTGATGATGCATGGCTCAGATGAAATTATTTTGACGATTGTAATTTCTTAGATGTTTTATCATGTTTTTATTTGTTGTTTGCGCATGGTTTGTTGTAACAAATGCTCTTAATGAAAAAAAGTTACGTTTAGATCTTAAAAAAGTGCAGATAGTTTGCATACAATTTTTATGTTGTCGAGCTTGTAGCACGAGTGAGACAATTTTTTCGATTGTGTTCGACCTGACGACATAAACCACACTTTCTTTCTAGCTTATCAAGGGAGTCCATTTCAATTGTGACACACTTGCTTTTGGGACGATCCTTTTTATTCCTTCGCATTTGATCGTTGTGTTATACTATTTCCCATTCGTATGCAGGCTAATAATCAGGTTTCATTACCATTGGAAAGCCATTATTGTATACGTTGACCAAGATTCAGACTTGTAAATGGGAGATAGAAGTAGTAATGCATCTTGATGAGTATACACACATGCCACAAGGACATGAAAGCAAGGCATACAAAAGGCTCGCAACTTTCCACAATCGCACCAATAAGATAGTAGTATAACCATATACTCTTGTCTTGGCAGCCCCTCGTTATGGTCGATTGTCTCTTTGACAACGAAGTTGTGACTATGTCGGTCGAACCTTATAACAAAATGGGTGTTGGCTTTGGCACCTTCTGCGTTAATATATTTTATGCAGCTTTCACTCCATAGTTGTCCCGATTGTAAGACCATATTCCACATTTCACCTCTTTTTGCAAACAACAAAGCCATCCTAAAATATTCACCAAAGCGGTTACTAGGAGGTTTCGTATGCCTTTGAATACACCATTCATTGATTCAATAAGATTTGTTGTCATGTGGCCCCGTTGTTATCCATTGTCGTATGACCTTGTCCATTTCTCTACTGGAATATTATCAATCCACCTACCTATATCCGGATTTGACAACGTGATCTCGTTGCGATAGTGTTTGAACAAAGGGGTCTTTCAGGATTGGTCGTTCTGTGTCATCACCTCCCACCTATCCTACACATTCGATCAAGGTTGTCACTGCGAAGCCATAATCACTTTGCTTACGCCCTCTTCCCACCAGTACCCATAAGCCCGTTAGGGTGCGAAGCCAAGGCTTCAGGATGGAGAATAAAAACTATCATTCAGTGCCCTGCAATGCTGGTGGTCACAAGAGTTTCTCAGCAACTACCCCCCCGGGATTCATCTTCTCAGCTTTTGACTATCTCGAGTTTCTCATCTATGAACGTGCCGGTTCTGCTCTCCCCTTTTCTTTTGGGTTGCCCAACCCTCCATAACTCAAATATTATTATCTCTTTAATTACGCCCTGCACAACCATCTTAACTCGCTCGGCCTCCTCAAAGAAGAAGTCTTCTGTGTCAGCTGCATGTATACCCCACGTTCATAACTGTTTTCCTAAGATCCCTGTCTTTTATCTCCCTTGTGAAAATTTGTACGATATGTCTAATGCAGTAGACGTGTGTAGAAGGAGGTTCATGCCAACCATTTGTAGGATTATTGTATGCACTCTCAATAGATGCATGTCTGTCAGAGATCAAACAGAGACCAGGTTGTTGAGCCACATGTGTTCAGAGATTCTTGAGAAAGAAACTCCAAGCACCACCAGTGTCTCCCTCAACTGGAGCAAAGGCAATTGAGAAAATGTTATTGTTGCCATCTTGTGCAATTGCTATCAGTAGCGTGCCTTTGTATTTTATGTACAAACACCTTCCATCTATTTGAATAATAGGTTTCCAGGATGCAAACCCTGTGATGCAAGGTTGAAAAGCCCAGAACAGTCGACTGGATATTCCATTTTCATTGATAGAAGTACCATCTGGGGCATATGCCAACAATGTTTCCATAATATAAACATTTCCAGGAGAATATGTCTGAAGTGCATGTAGGTAGCGTGATAGTTCTTTGTATGACTTCTCCCAGTTTCCATATACCTTTTCAATCGCCTTGGTCTTTGCTAACCACGCCTTTTTGTATGAAGGAGTATAATTTTATAGTATAATGATGTGAGAGATTATGGTTTTCACCTTCAATGACGAATCATTGTTGACGAGAGTAAGATTTCTTGACATATTAGATCATAATTTAGTTTATGATGATCTTGTGATTGAGTAGAATTAACGCACATGTGGGTGGACATATAACCTATCACCCGACAATCACCTCTCAAACTGTATGATGCAGTGAGCATGAACATACAATCTGGGTGAACACACTTGAGCTTGTACCTTTTTGGATTTACCCGATCTACCTTAAAATCGACAGAGTTTAACATGTGAAACTTTTTTATAACTCGCATACAATCTTCTCTTGAACGAAATTTGTCTTTCTCTTTTAAATTTTCATCCGACTGCATATACGGGTTGAAAAAACATCTGATGACGGTTCATCTCCGCCCATGTTGAAGTTTGTCATGTGTGAAGGTGGTGTGTAGATTTCATTTGGAGGTATTTCAGGTAGCGCATCGTCTTCAAAATCATTGTTGACCATGTTGTCAAACTCTAACTCTTCTTCTTCCTCTTCTTCGTCAACAACATTTACTTCTGCTTGTTTGCCTTCGATGCGACCAACCACTTATGGCTAAGTTGGTTGTGACAATTGAGCCTCTTGAAGCACAATGTACAACTCAATCGAGTCGTACCCAGAGTACTCATGACTAGAAAAAATATTTTGAAGGTCCTCGTCATCTTGAACCTCTACCTTATAAAATATTATTTGGTTCTCATAAAAAAACGAGATTTTGATAGAAGATGTGTGTCACTGGACCTCGTCCAAGTTTGACCTTTAATCATTTTTTGAAATACAAGAAATTGGCTTTTCTATTTAAACAAAATTGGATATTATCAATGTCTCTAAATAAATAACCAGAGGTGGGACAAATGTACGTCCCACCGTTGAAATGTGCACTAATAACGTATTGTGATGCAGTGTTTGGTGTTTGAATGTTTAAGTGTTGATAACATTAGATGCATGTAGGATAAATAAGTTTCATTTGCCTTGAACAAGACAAAAATGTTCCACCACTAATTCGCCAATTGAGATGGAAAAATATATTAATTTTGGTCTTATGTGCCATCTGGGATGGCGCATCCCTACATGTCATGTCACCTTACATGCATGCGTATAAGATTGTCCCTATGATGCCATCTTACACTTCACCTATACTGCCACCTATTCTACATGTAGGTATGTCCCACGCTAATCTGACTGGCGCATGCTCTCTAAAATGCATGTATGCGCCATTTGACTTGGCTCTAACATGGCACATATCCTGTATGCATGCAACCACGAACCACCTCATTAATTCACTCTTATATGAATTCACCTATAAGAGCCTGAGACACTTATTTTGCATCATCAATCATCATACTCTCTAATACAAACTCTTTTATTATCTTATACAATTTCAAATATAGTTCTTCTCACAATGGGAGATTCTCAGAAGCACAAGAGACAAAATTGCGGCGTTTGTAAGTTTCTATAAACTCTTAAATATTCTTTTATATTAATATATTTTTTATAAAATTATTATTAAATTAGTCATCTTATGGACTCTTACATTATTTACATTTTGAATTTAGGATACTAAAAGATTTAGAATTCACTCACACAACTACATTACTCTCGACCCGTTGATCGTGCCCTATCTCGAATATG